GGCCCCCGAGCGTGACACCGGCGGGACACCGCGGGGCACCAGTTGCCGGAACGGAGGCTTTTGGTCCGGCCGCGCCTCAGCTGCAGGAGACTTATTTCTCGCCCGCCCACGCAGTTTCGCCTCGCCCGCACGCACGGCACGCACGAACACGCAACCGAAACCGATTTCCCGGTAGGGGGGCTCTCCGTTCCACTTCGATCTCACCCCCTCACCTCCGATTGGGGAAAGCCCATGGAATCAGCCCGCGAGAGAACCAGTTCCTATTACCTTTTACTTGAACCTCTCCTCCTTATCAAGAGACGTTCGTTGCCTTTCCCGCGCAGGCGGAGCGAAGGACAACCTTTCGGATTTCATGGGCCCCCTGGATGCGAGTCGATCCAAACCACCGTGGGCTGAGCACCATATGGAGTCACGAAACGTGCGAGGGATGTGCCGATCTGGTGGCTGCTAAGCTATACGGTCGGGCCCACTGAGACCGGCGGTGAAGATCCTTATCGGGTCACGAAGCGTTGGAGGGGTGTATTGAACTGGAGGCTGGTACGCCATGCGGTCGCGCCGACTGTCACAGTAGGTGAGCCACGAATCGTGTGAGCGGTGTGCCGGATTTGGGGGCGAGTGCGCTATGCGGTTGCACCCTCTGAGACCATGGGTGGATCCCCCTTATGTGGCCACGAAAGGTGTGAGGGCATGCCAAAGTGGACACGCGGGCGAGCAGAGGAAGAAGGGGGGAGGAGGGGAGGAAGTGGAGCGCGACGCTGCGGATTCGAAGCCAGGACCCAGCTCACACATTTCGATTGGGAACACATTGTCTTCCAATGAAACTTTCATTTGTCTGCGCGTGCGCACTTCCTACAGTCCAAAGCCGTGGATGAGCTATCATTCTTGGCAAAGGAGACCATGCGGGTCACACGCTCGCGCATGTCGAAATTGTTCCGCAGCCATTACGCACCCGTCAAATATCTCACACACTTGTTGTCGGCGCCCACGCACACGTCGAAACCATTACTCGATATTAAATATGCCAAAATGATTGGAAGAGCACTTTCTGCCGCTGTTGGCAAGGGATGTTCAATCCCCCCTCAAGACCAGGGGACTGGCGGAGTTCGAGACCCTCCCCCCCAGGAAATTACTCGAGGGGGTTAAGGCCCCCCCCCCTCGGGAAAATGATTGGAAGGGGTCCAGAACCCCCATACATTCGGGAAGATTCTTTGAGGGGTCCAGGAAGCCCCTGGGAACGACGACGACAGACGACGCAAGACGACCACGACGCCGACGCTGACGCCGACGCCACCGCCGACGACGACGACGACGACGAAGGCGAGGACGACGCAGACGACGACGCCGAAAACGACGACGACAACGACGACGACGAATACGACGAAGATAACACGACGACGACGACGACGACGGCGGCGAGGACGCCCACAATGACGCCGACAACGACGACGATCGAGCCGTAGCGATATGCGATTACAGCTGGATCGACCCCTAATAGGGGTCTATGAAAGCTGGATTGAACTCTGACAGGATTCTATTAGAGCTGGATCCAGGCCTGGGGGATTCTATAAAACATGAACCGGGTCCTTTACAGATTGTATCAGAGTTGGCTCCAGTGTTGCAAACATGTTGAGTAGAACCCCATCAGACTTGGACCCAACCCTGACAGCTTCTATTAGCGATGGTCCCAACCGAAATAGGATTTTATTACAGTTGAATTTGGGCCGAGTAGGATTAGTTTAGAGCTGGATCCAGCCCTCGTATGATTATGTCAGAGCTGAGCCGAGCCCTAGTAGGATTACAGCAAAGCTCGGCCGAGTCCCAGTCGGATCCTAAGAGAGCTCGGTCGACTCCTAGATGGATGTGAGTAAAGTTGGATGGAATATAGCAGGATTCTGGTAGAGCTGGATCGAACCCGCATCGGATTCGACTAGAGTTGGATCCACCCCTCTAACAATCCGTGCACAGGTAGATCCAGCCTCCACAGGCCTTATTGGAGGTGGATCGGCCCCTCCCTAGTGAGATTTGTCTTTTAGAGCTGGGCCCAAGCACAGTGGGATTCCATTAGAACTGGATCGAAATTCTTGACGCTTCGCGTATCCCCACCAGCCCATCCTACACCAGGCACTCGAACGAAGAGCGCCGATGATCGGCAGCTGTTCTCCTCCCCCTCTTCCTCCTTCTCCTCCGCCTTCTCCTCCTCATCCCTTCCTTCTCCTCCTCCTCCTCCTCCTCCTCCTCCTCCGCCTCTTCCTCTTCCATGGTGGTGTCTTGGAGGTATCTTCGAACGTTTTGGTGGGCTCTTGGGCCTCGCGGGCGGGCGGGCGGCGCTCCGCCCGCCCGCGCGCAGGGCGCGAGAGGAGAGTCCGAGACGTCTCTTGAGGCCCTCTTGGAGGACATCGATCGCAGAAGGGGGTCGCCCCCCTGGGGGGCACGATCCTCGTGAGGGGTGTCGAATTTTAGCCCTCCCAGGGGTCGTTCTTGGACGCTCTAACTACCCGCGGCCCCCCCTGTCCAGGTCAGTGGGGAGGGGGTAGGGGGAGGGGTAAACCCCTCCCCGAAGGGGAAGAAGGAGGGGTGGAAGAGGAAACGCTCTAAACCACCGACGCCCAGAGGGCTGGTAGGATTTAGTAGGATCCCATCAGAGCTGGATCCAACCCTAACAGGATTGCAATAAAGCTGGAGCGAACTTGTGTTTGACCCCGATAGAGTTGGACCCAAGAGAGCTGGATGGATCCACACCGAGTAGGATTTTGCGAATGCTGAGCCGAGCCTATGTATAATTATACCTGAGCTTGATCGAATCCGAATCGGATTGCATTGAAGCCGGAGCCATCCGTACTAACATGATTCTGTTAGAGTTGGATCGGACCCTGGGAGGATTCTCTCAGAGTTGGATCGAACCGTGGTTGGCATCGATAAGAGCTGGATCCAGCCCCATCGGATCTTTATGTAATCTAGATCCAGCCCCAGACTGTTTCTATGTGAGGTGGAACCAACTCTAGTAGGCTTCTAGTAGAGCTGGATCGAGCCCTGGTAGCATTCTATCAAAGCCGGCGCCCCGCGCGGGCGCCAGCGACAGGTTCGCCGCCGCCGCCGCTGACGTTGCCGCCGTCGTCGGCGGTGTCGTAGGTTTCGTTGTCGTCGTCTTCGTCGTCTTCGTCGTCTTCGTCGTGGTCGTCGTCCGTCGTCGTGGTCGTCGTGGTCAGCGTGGTCCGTTGTCGTCGCCGTGGTAGTCGTCGTTTCAGGGGCGGGGGGGTCCTTGACCCTTCGATTATTTTTCTGGGGGGGGCCCTCCGAGTAATCCCACCAGCCCTCTGGGCGTAGGTGGTCTAGAGCAGATCCTCTTCCACCCCTCCCTCTTCCCCCTTGGGGGGGGGTTTACCCCTCCCCCTACCCCCTCCCCTGGACCTGGACGGGGGGGGCCGCGGGTAGTTAGAGCGTCCCAGATGGCCCAAGACGGCTCCAAGAGCGCCTCAGAGAACCCAAGATGAGCTCCAAGATGGCTCAAGATAGCGCAAGATCGCTCGAGATGGCTCCTAAGATGGTTCCAAGAAGCCCAAAGACGGCCCCAAGATAACTCCAAGTGGCCAAACAGCTCCCCAAGGAGGCCCCGAAGAGGCCAAAATCGTCCCAAAACCTAAGGAAAATCAATGATTTTTGCTTTCTCGCCTTTTCGCTTCCGATGGCCATCCGAGGCCTGGAGATGGCTCCAAGATGGCCCAAGAGGGCCCCAAGAGAGCCCCAAAAGAGCCCCAAGACGGCCCCAAGAGCGCCCAAGAGCACTCCAAGAGCGTTCCAAGAGGGGTCCAAGAGGCGATTTTAGGGGCTTCCGAGGGGGGACGCTAATTAAACCCCCCCTCTTGTTTGATCGACTCCCTCCAAGATGGCCCCAAAAGCGCCCCGAAGGCTCCCCATAGCGCTCCAAGAGCGCCCCAAGACGCGCTCAGGACGCCCCAAGAAGCGCCAAAGAAGCCCTCCAAGAGGCCCTCAAAAGACCCCCAAGAAGCTCCTTCCCCTCCTCCTCCTCCTCCTCCGATTCTTCCTCCTTCTCCGTCCTCCTCCTCCTCCTCCTCCTCCTCCTCTTCCCCCTCCTCCTCCTCCTCCTCCTCCTCCGACGACGACGACGACGACGACTCCTCTTCCATCCTCCCCCTCTCGGGGTCTGTGACAGCTTCCCCCGCCCTTTGTTATTCTGCATGCTCCCCGACTTCCCTGATCACCTCAACTCCCCTGAGCATCGTTTCTGGATGGGCTGGTGGGGACACGCGAAGCGTCAACAATTTTCGGAGGGGGGGGGAATTCTGGACCCCTCCTAATACGTATCCCTGGAGGGGAAGGTTCCAGACTTCCCAGTTCTTCCCGAGAGGGCGGGGGATAGTGGTGGAGTGGGGCCCCGCTCAATGGAATTGGGCTCGGTTTTCCCCGCGCGCATTGCCCCATCATCATCATCATCATCATCATCATCATCATCATCATCATCATCATCATCATCATCATCATCATCATCATCATCATCAACGCCAGTGCCGTCATCATCGCCAGCATCATCATTGCCACCGTGTTCTATGCATCACCATCGTCATCGTCACCACCGTCGTCATCATCGTCTTTGTCGTCGTCGTTCATCGCCGTCATCACCGTCGCCACCGTCACTATCACCTGGAGGTGCCCACGTCATCATCACCGTCATCGTCACCATCACCATCATCGTCATCGCCGTCGCCGCCGTCATCGTTATCATTCGCTCGCTCGAGTCATGGATTTGCATGAGAAGAGTGCATGCGTCAAAGCGCCGATTGAAAGTCGTGGAGTTCTGCTTGGCTACTCCACTCACGGCCTCTTGAGTTCGGCCATCCAGTTTCGTGCGGGCGGGTGGGATTTATGTTCGAGCACTGGGATGGCACCTCGCAGACTGCACCACGTAGCGGTTACATCCAGATCGCAAGAATTGATTGTGCGGGGCCCCCACGGGAGACAGCGCGGCCGTGGCCCGACCGGAGGTCCTGCAGGCGCAGCTGCGGCGGGCAGTGTCCAGGAGTGACGCCCTCCGTCGATTTTCTGCCCGCCCGCGCCCTTCGCTGTCCCCATGCCGTCTCGGAGGTGGATAGACCTCCTACCCTGACACGTCGATTGAGGAATTGGCCGTTTTCGGCTCGCGAGAGGGCGTCGCGGCCGTGATTTTTGCGGGTCTAGGTCCGTCGGTTTCGGTCCCAGGCCGCTTTCACTAAGGGGAGGTTTACAAGAGGGAGGTTTGTCCACCGCCGACCGTCCTCCTTCCCGGTCCTCCGCCCTCTTCCTCGGCCCACGCTCCTCATTATCATCTTCGTCTGCCTGGCCTTTCTCATCCCACCCCTTTCTCCCTCGCTCGCCCGTTCCATCTCCTTGCCGATGTCCCCCTACTCCACATCCCTTGTTCCTATTGCTGTTGCTCCTTCTTTGTTTCGTCATTTCACCGCAACCCTCCTCGTCCCCCTCACTCACTCTCGCTGCACTGCACGAAAACATCTTCTGCATATCGTGAGCGGGAAGTGCAAACACGACGGCAGACAGACAGATCACGTAGTGTCAGGATTCAATCGAGCAGGCGAAGTCAGGTAGCAGCACGCTGCCCTCCCGAGGGCCAGGAGGGGCGTTTCTTGACCTCACTCGTCCCGCGGGGGGGACGAGGAGGACGAGGAGGGGGCAGGAGGAGGAGAAGCGCTCCCGCCCTCCCCAGGGCCGAGTGGGGCGGCTCCCAGCAGTCCACGCCGCCGGAGCAGCGCGAGGCCCTCTGGGACGACCTGTGCAGCCAGCTCAAAATGGCGAGCAGCCAGCAGAGAATGACAAGAACGATGATGACACGGACGAGGAGGAGGAAGAGGACGAAGACGAGGATGAGGATGAAGATGAAGACGAACAAGAAGAGGATAAGGGCGATGACGATGATCACGCAGACGAGGATGAGGATGAGGATGATGCCGACGAGGATGAGTACGAAGGTGAGGATCAGGATGACGAGGAGGAGTAGGAGGAGGTGGACGAGAGTGATGATAATGGGCATGAGCATGAAGATGAGCGCCGAGACGAGGAGAAGGACGGGGATAAGAATGGCTATGCCAATGAGGATGGTTCAGATGAGGATGCGGACAAGGACAACGAGGAGGAACAATAGTGCATTTGGGGGGGGGGCGATAAGGAGGAGGCTATTTGCGAAGGGCTCTGAGCACTCAGACTCACTTTCCTGTCGGGGGCAGAGCACTGCAAACCTTTCTCATCGGCCCCAATCGTTCCTGCATCGTGGACGGAACTCGAAACGACCAGAATTAAAAATGAAGATTCAGAAATGTTTCCAGCGAAGCGGATGTACCCGGGATGTCCCTGGAGAGCGCTTTGGACAGCTAAACGGATGTCTTCGGGATGTACCGTTTGAGCACTTTGGATTGCAAAAGGGATGATGTCGCCGGCACGGGCTTGGTTCCCGGCACCTTTCATGTCTAATGCGTGGCCAGAACCAGGAATGACCTGAAATATAAATATGTGGTTTGTCGTGCATCGTTGTCTTGATTTGGCCTTGGCCAACCAATTTCACTTGTTAGCTGTTGCTGCATGGACGCCCAAAAGCCTTGCATCCTTGATTTGCACTCTTGTGACGGGCCTCGGCGGTGTGAGTAAGAAAGCAGTACGATCAGGACAAAGAGGAAGTGGAGCAAACGGTAGGAAAGGGAAGGGGAGGAGGAGCCAGGCAGGAGAAATCGATGGAGGAGGAGAATTGCCGCCGAGCCGAATGGCAGTGAAGGGCTCATGGTCCTCAAGTTTTTTTCGCATGGCGCGCGATCGCAGACCCGAAGCCGCTACTAGGCAACCGCAAAAGTAGGACCTCCTTACCTACATGTTCGTAAGGCTACACGGCGGGTTCACCAAGAAAGGCGAGACTACGCAAAGCGTACATACATTGCAAGTAATGTAGCTGCATAGTATACATGCGTAGTATATTTGCGTAGTGTATATGCGTAGTGTATGTACGTTGTGTATTTGCGTAGCGTATGCACGCAGTGTACTTACATAGTGTACTTCGTAGTGTATTTGCGTCGTGCATTTCCATGATGTGCTCGCGTGTCGTAGTTTACGTTGTGCGTTTGCGTATTCCTGGGGACGCCGCGCCAGATTTATGTTGAGGTATTTCCGCGCCGCCCTGGCTTCCCAGCTGAACAATCGGAGGGAAAACCTGAGCAAGGCTCAAGTCGCAGAACGGGTGAAGGACAGCGGCGTGACCCTGGGGGAGCGCAAGGAGGAGAACGAGAAGGAGGAGGAGGAGAAGAAGGAGGTGGTGGAGGAGGAGGAGGAGGAGGAGGAAGAGGACGAGGGCTCTCTTGGCCTTCGTGCCTGTCTCACGCGGGCCCCCGAGCCCTATGTGGGCCAGACAGAACGTCGCACCGGCTCGGGCGGGCGGAGCCACCGCAGCAGTCCGCCCCCCGAGGGCAGGACTTTTCCAAACGCCTCCCAGGTCTCCGCCAGTCCGATTGGGCCCCGCCCAGGACGTCGGCGGCGTGACAAGACACAGCACACGGCACTCTGCGCGCCACACGGCGCACTGCATGGCACGACCCACAGCACAGCATGACTGCACGGCACGCGGCACGGCACACCCAGATGTGGGTCCCCCGCGGTAGGCGCGGCGCCGGCCCCCTGGGCGCGCGCGGCGTTCGTCGAGCGCGGGTGGCAACCCACACCAGACGTTATTCGGCCGAAATCGGCGCGGTGACAGAGGGCGACCGCGAATCGATCGAAACCGGCCGCTCGCGAGGGTCTGAGTCCTCCTGTCGTTGGAGAGAGGCCCAAGGATCAGAAGGAAGAGGAACAGTAAAGTTGACGTGGAGAAGCCATCGGACTTCCTGCCCTGAACCGACGAGCCTGAAGCCAAACTTATTTCAGCGTTGCGGTACGACCGAAGCCTGCTTCTGCATCGAGGAAGAGAAGAGGAAGAAGACGCTGAGAAAGAAGGGAAGGGGGGAGCAGGAGAAGGGGGACCCCATCCCGAACACCATGCGTGCGAGCACTTGTCCGTTTTCCTTTGGTGCTTTCTCTGGGCAGAGCCGCGCGGTAGTGACAGGTGTTGAGCGCGGAGCTGAAGGAGCTGCGCGATTCGCTGCTGTCATCCTATGCGCCAGCGCCTCGCGCACCGCAAGCGACCCCCCCAATGTCCAAAGGGCCTTGGCAAGTTCCAGGTCCGCTCCAGTGCGGGTGGTCAGCGCTTGCTAATCCGAAGCGTTCCGACCCCCCGAGGTCCCTGGACGCCTTTGGAGGCCCAGAAGCCCAGTGATCCCCAGGATCCTCCAGATATGTTTAAACAGAGCCAAAAACGTTCACAGACTTGCCGAAACCATCCAAAAACCTCGAGGGCCGAGGGCAACACGCAGCACTTGTGCTTGGTGCCTGCAGCACACTGTTTCGCCGCGGCGAAGCTGACATCTGCAGAAATGCCAAGCAAGCCGGAGCGGACCACCATGGGCGATTCCAGGGTGGTCCCAGGATTGGCGTTGCTGCCTACCCTCCCCCAGCCCGATCATGCTCCGTCGCCGTGCCGTTCTCCCCTCGCCCACTGCCAGCCAGCGCACAGCACGCTCGCGTGCTCAACGATGGCGTCCCAGAGAGGGCCTCGACTTCGGCGCCTCCCGCCTTCGGCATGTCGGAGGAACGCGGCGGCAGTAAAAGTGAGACGACAACATGTTTGGTTCTAGGGTTCCGGAGCCGACCAGTAAGTGGAAGCACCCATCGCCCTTGGCAACCAAAAGGGCCGTATAGAGCCACTAGGGTTCCTCTGCCCCTTCCCATCGACTGTGGTATCCCTCTCCCTCTGTGCCTGTCTCCCTTGAGACATACCTCTGCCTCGTGGCCTGTCTCCCTAAGGGAGGCGAGGTTTCGGATTGTTCCCAGGATCGGTCCTGTCGCAGGTGAAGAACCCAGGCGTGTCCGATTGAGCGAAGAGAGGGTGGATGAGGAGCGGGATCATGATCAGGAGTAGAGGCAAGGCCGAGGATGAGGAGAAGGACGGGAGCTCCAAAAGAGGAACGAGGAGGACCAGATAAAGCAAGCGGCAGGGAGAAGTTGGAGAGAGATGGAAGATGGCATAAGAGGGAAGGGAGCGGGATGGGCAGAGAGAGAGAGAGAGACAAAAAGAGGGAAGTGGAGAGGAAGGGGGAACGGGGGGGCAGAGGGGGGAGGGGGAGGCTGGTCCAGCGAGGTGCTCCTGTTCCTCTGTACGCCCCCGTTACATTGCCTCAACAACTACACGTTATGGATTATGATTGCCTCTATCCCCTGATTCTGTCCGGAAGATGGTCGACGCTAGCGGCGACTGGATGCCAAAAGTAGGTGTTTCGCACGGTCAGTTATACAAACCGGTTGTTGTCGTTGTTGTCGGTGCTTCAAGTTTGTGTTCGCGCTGCAGCGTGGGCCTCTTTTTGGGGTCCGAATCCTCGTTTCATCGGTGTTGCTGCACGCCGGCCAATGTGCCATTCGGTTGCCCCGAGTCGCCCCACGGTGGTGCGGACTGCTTCCGCCTCGCCGCCGAGTTGTTGCCCCCCCTCATTCCCCCTCCTCCGCCTTCCCCTGATCATCTTGTTCATCCTCCTGTTCATCCGCTACTTCCTCAAATCTACGCAGGCACCATTCTTCCGATTGCGCATAGCACGACGGGGTCCTCTTTGGAGCTCCAGGTCCGCTATGACAGGCGTCGGCGGATAGAGAAAAATATGCATTGCGAATGGACGGATGGTAAGATGTTAGAATGGCGCGACCGCGCCTAGTTTGGCCCTCATTCTCTCTTCTCTCCATCGCCACACCTATCGGAGATGTTAACAACAACTTGTTTGTTCCCGTTGAGCCCGGAATTCTTTGATGACAACCTCAAATCTGGACAGGACACCAGATGTTTTCTCAGATTGCTGGCCTTTGCCAACTTCCCTACGTCCTCTCTCTCTCTCTCTTTCTCTTTTTTTTTTTTTCTCTCTCTCTCTCTCTCTCTCTCTCTCTCCCTCTCTCCCTCCAGTCTCGGCCCGAGTTCCAGCAGGAACAGAGCGTGGCCAGGGCGAAACCCTCCGCGCTTTCCAGCCCGGTGAGACCGTATCCGGAGGCTTTACCCTGGGACCAGTTCGTGTCATTTATCCCTTTTACTCTCCGCCGCAATGACCTGTGCCGCCGCATCGGTGTTCGCACCGCGCGTGGTGACCCCGTCACGGCCCACTTCCTCAGTTGCGAGACGGGCAAAACCCCAGAGGGAGGCTACCAGCTTACATGCGGCACGGCCACTTCCACTACAGCCACGTCATGAGCAACAAACGCATGCTGTTCATCACGAAGATTGTGTTTTCTGCGGTCCCATCCTGGATGAGCATGCTCTTCCTGCTCCAGCTCACGCCCCTCACGCTCCTCGGGGCGCTCTTCAAGATCTCCGAAACGACGTGCAGCGTCTCCACGGTGAACTGCATGCGTTACGCGCTCTTATTCATCCACCAGGTTCCCGTGCCGCTATTGCGGCCATCTGGAGCCCGACGATCAAAAGCAGCATCCAGTTGCACCTGATCTTCGGCGTCCTGCCGTTTTCCCACAGCACCCTCGGCCACGTCGAAATGGCCGCCTTCGGCATCCACGATGGCATCGGCAAGTTCTGCGCGCGTTTCGCCGCGATCCCCGTGACCCTCGGCAGCCTGTTTTGCTCCGTCGGCACGGCCTCGCTCTCCGCGGTCTTCGGTGGCCAGCTGGGCCATCCTGTTCGTCGGCAGCAACCTCCTGCACTTTTGGGGCGCCCTCGGCATCGCAGGCACGGCGGGCCTTGCCCCCCCTGAACGGGCCGCGTTCGCCCTGCGCGCGGTCTCCATACAGTTCGTCGCACTCTTCTTCGACGGCGCGACCCCGCCCGCCACTGCAGGCCCTGCGATCGCATTCCAGGGCGAGCAACACACACCCTCAGGCCGTGCGCTCACGGGCCACGGCCCGCACGCTGCCCACACGACGCGCGCTCGCAGGCCATGGCTCGGGGCCAGCGCGCGCCGCCGCGCCGCCCTCACCGACGCCCCGCCGACCACGATCCACGCACGCACTGCACTGCCCCCGCGACCCTTGCCGACCCGAACTTCGGGGTCCAAGTCGGCGCGGAGGTCGCTGTCCAGGGCCAGGAGCGCAACCCAATCAACGGTTTCCGCGGCGTCGTCCGAGGCCGTTCCGGCGACGCCAACCAATGCTGGATCATCATGCTTACTAACGGGCGCACCGCCCACCTGCCCCCGCCAGTCTGATCGTCGCCGCCCCGGCGCCAAGCCCTGAGGTTTTGCCCCTCGGCACGCGCGCCCCCCCCCGAAGCCCCCGCCCAGGCCCCCCCCCGCCCGCGCACGCGGCGCGGCTCGAGGAGGCGAGTCGAGGAGGGAAGAGGCGGGGGCGAAAATCACGACCACCGCACCAATCGCGCGCCCTGCGGTCACAGTCGCGCGCCCAGCTGACGGGGCAGCAGGCGACCACGCCTCCGATTGCCAATCGAACGCTGAGTAGGACAGCGCGCGCGTTGAACGAAAATGGCACATGAGTATCGGCTCACCTTCTCATCGATCACTTTCGCAACTCCTGGCGCCAACTCGCCGCCACTCTCAGCGCCATCGCCGTCAGAGTCACGGGCGGCCTTCGCAATGCCAGACGCCGCGTCGCCCACGCGCGCGCCAACTGCCCCCCTCTGGCGGCCCGCCACGACAAGCCTCGCAGGCTGCCCCCCCTAGGGGGCACGCAGGCCTGGCGCCGCCAAAAATATGCGCCGCGCGCGGCGCGAAGCGAGCCGCCTCCGCAGAGCGAGAGAACCCGCGACCTCGCACGGCAATCCCCGCGGCCGTTCGCGAGGCCGAGAGGGAGAGGCGTCACCGCACACCCCCGCGGGGGGAGGTTTCGACGCGGATGGGGCGAGGGAGGGAAGGGGCCGTCGGCCAAGAGCCAGAGCAGACGGATCGCCTCCGCCGTCGCCCACCCGTCGAAGGACGGAGGAGGATGCTCGAGGGCCAGCGGCCACCTCCGTCGAGCGACACGGCGCGGACGAGAACGCAGCGGCGGCCCCCCGACAACCCAGCCCGAGACCGCCAGTAGCCAGGCGCCCGCGCCGCGGCCCCACCCCGCGCAGTCGCGCCAAGAGGAGACTTCGGGACGCGGGACGCAGAGGAAGCCGAGGGTGCCCGAAACCTACCCGGGGCAGAAAACATCGGACAGACGTCGCAGCCGGGGCGCGCCGCCACAGCGCACCCGAGCGCCTAGCGAAGGTGGGCCCCGCCAGGTCGGACGACGCCGACCTCCACCGCGGCGCGGCAGGACGGCTACCTCGGACGGCCTACAGCAGACGGGCGGGGCGCGCCCGAGGTCTCACCGCCCCGCAATCCACGGTCGCGGGCGAGGTGGGCAAACCACCAAAGCCCGCGCCCTTCGCGGTCAACGCAGTACCCGCGGGCATTCCCAGGGCTGGGGGAACGAGATGCAAGAGGCCAGGCGCCCAACCAGCTCGCCAACCTCCTCCCTCCAGGCGCCGAAGGCAGGGCAGCCCAAGGACCTCGACGACGGCGAGGCGGGCGAACTTCGCGAACAACGCCCCCCCAGCATGCGCCAGCTGCAAGCGGCGGACGAGAACCTCGGCCTCGACGACGGGCGCGCCACAGCCTGTCCCCCGCAGTTGCGCTTGTGGGCGGCGCAAGGCATCGGCAGGCTGGCCGAGCGGCTCACCGCCCAACATTGGAGGGGGAACTTCGCTTGGAGCCGCTCAGGAGGCGCGCGCGGCGCGGGGCGATTATTCAAGAGCGCCGAGGAGGGCCCCCCTGTAGATAAAGGGCGCCCCGCTCAGCGGAGGCGTTTTCTACATCGACGGAGGGAATGCCGAGGCCCCGCCGGGGAATTGGAAGACCTGCGCTTGGAGCCGCTAGGGAGACGCGCGCGCCGCGCGGGAACGGGGCCCGGGAGCGCCGAGAAAGGGCCGCCACGTGGATAGCGGCCCGCTCGGCGGAGGCGGCAAGCGAGGCAACCCCTCCCCCGCGAAACCCCGCTGCAGGAGGGGCGCCACCACGGCCGGTGCGGACTGGCTTCCGACGAGGCCACT